TCCGACCATCTCGTCCTCTGTCGTCCCCCTAGTCTCACCACACCTGAATTCCTAATTTTGCTTTGTAGCAAGTAGAGATATCATGAGAAGGCAGGACTCATTGAAAAGGACAATCATGCTACGAAAAGTCAAAGACAATAAGAAAAGAGAAGGACTGACATGAAATTGGCAGACTCAGTAAGACAACCATGGTAGAAAAAGTCAAAAGCAGTAGGAAAAGAGGAGGAATGACATGAGATGGCTTGACTCAATAAAAAGAACCACAGTTTTCAGTTTGCAAGACTGACCAGGATAGTTTATGATAGATCATTAATGGGAGATCATCCACAGGGTCCCCATATGCCAGAAGTGACTTAATAGCACTTAACAACAAGTGCTTTCGCTGGACAATAATGGACTCCAAATGTCTTATTAGGTAGGTTCTCTCTTTAGAAGGTCATGTGTGCAGCACTTGGAAAAAGTTACTTTTTGGGACCCCAATTACTAGCTGGTTGGACGATTCTGGTATTTGTAGTCCAACCAGCTAGTAATTGGAGTCCCTAAAAGGGGGCTTTAACTGGGCATTATTTTGCTCTCTGCAAAACGTGGAAAAGCAGCCCTGATACAATGTAGAGCAGGCGTCTCAAACATGCGGCCCGGGGGCCATTTGCGGCCCACTGGATGATAGTTTGTGGCCCCTGCCTTGCCTGCCCCTCAAAGCGCCCACACAGCCTCTGCTGTCAAGAGTAAAAAAAAAGCCTCACCTCGCTCGCTGGCTCTCTCCCAAGACAGCGCCTCTTGCACCCTCCATCTGGAACTGCAACCTTCCAGCCAGCAGTTCCAGATGGAGGGTGCAAGAGGCGCTGTCTTGGGAGAGAGCCAGCGAGCGAGGGGAGGCTTTTTTTTTTACTCTTGACAGCAGAGGCTGTGTGGGCGCTTTGAGGGGCAGGCAAGGCAGGGGCCACAAACTATCATCCAGTGGGCCGCAAATGGCCCCCGGGCCGCATGTTTGAGACGCCTGCTCTACATTGTATCAGGGCTGCTTTTCCACGTTTTGCAGAGAGCAAAATAATGCCCAGTTAAAGCCCCCTTTTAGGGACTCCAATTACTAGCTGGTTGGACTACAAATACCAGAATCGTCCAACCAGCTAGTAATTGGGGTCCCAAAAAGTAACTTTTTCCAAGTGCTGCACACATGACCTTCTAAAGAGAGAACCTACCTAATAAGACATTTGGAGTCCATTATTGTCCAGCGAAAGCACTTGTTGTTAAGTGCTATTAAGTCACTTCTGGCATATGGGGACCCTGTGGATGATCTCCCATTAATGATCTATCATAAACTATCCTGGTCAGTCTTGCAAACTGAAAACTGTGGTTCTTTTTATTGAGTCAAGCCATCTCATGTCATTCCTCCTCTTTTCCTACTGCTTTTGACTTTTTCTACCATGGTTGTCTTACTGAGTCTGCCAATTTCATGTCAGTCCTTCTCTTTTCTTATTGTCTTTGACTTTTCGTAGCATGATTGTCCTTTTCAATGAGTCCTGCCTTCTCATGATATCTCTACTTGCTACAAAGCAAAATTAGGAATTCAGGTGTGGTGAGACTAGGGGGACGACAGAGGACGAGATGGTCGGACAGTGTCATCAAAGCTACCAGAATGAATTTAACACAACTCCGAGAGGCAGTGGAAGATAAAAGAGCCTGGCGTGCTCTGGTCCATGGGGTCATGAAGAGTCGGGCACGACTAAATGACTAAACGAAGAGACTATGCACTGGAATGTAGAAAGATTAGGGCAGAAGGCATAATGTCTGAGGCTTCATTGATGCATTAGAGCTAGAATTCTGCTTCCATGTGTGTTTTGCCGAACGTGACCAAGAATTCACAGGACATATTTCTTCATATTCATATGGGGGGAAATGATGAGATTTTCTTCCCTAACAAATAGGATTTAATACCTGACTGCCTCTGTCACTTGCGTAGCTATGACACCAATATGACACCTTGTGGGGCCCTGCTGAGCTAAGAGGTTTGCTGTAGGAGTTAACCAAACTTCATTGTATTTTAAAAACATCCCGAGTGTGGGCCCTGATCTCAATCCAGTTCAATATTAACACTGTTGCCCTGGGTGATTTGTAGGACAAAAGGCACAGGGGAGAATAATTTCCATTCCCTGCTATGATTCAGGGTTGCCCCTTGGAATGATGCATCGACTCTGTTCTTGAGGTCAATTCAAAGTCCCAAGCATGGTTATGCATGCCTTGAAGCACTTCTTCTAGGAGAAGGAAAGAGAAAGGCTAAGAGCAGTGCGCTGACTTCAGGCCTCATTGCTGAACCCCAACACATTAATCTGGAGAGGAACTGCTTATTCCTGGGGGCCAGACTCTGGTGCTCCCTTTCCCCACCCATTCCTGGTGCATGGTTCAAGCATTCTGATTAGGACAAGCAAAGACAGCTGATTGATGGATTTCATTGCAGGAGCTATTGCAGGTAATAAATAAATGGATGGATGGATGGATTGGGAGGCTTCTTGATTGATTGATTGATTGAAACATATATACAGTTAACTAAAGTTACAATAGCTCTTTGTGTGTCAATGCTGGCAGCTGTCCCAAATGTGATTTTTAAATATGGTTCCTTAAAGTATGAACTGCGCTGAAGGCAGCCGGCAAAAGGGTGAAGGTATTACATTAATAATTTGAAAAAAAAAAGGAGTCTTGGAAAGGGGATTTAAAGAGTTGTGATTCAAAAAGGATAACATTTCCAATGTTCTAGTTAGTCAACAGCTACTTGACTTTCTGCAGAGCCTCTCTCCTCAGGGAGATCTATTTGATGTTGTAATTCTGAGCATGGGCTACACACCCACCACAAGAGCTGAGTTCTATTTCTCACTATCTCCATTCTATTAATAGAGTGGGAAGACTTCCAGAGAATGGAGGAGTTACAAACAAACTTGACTTCTCAGTTCTTATTCAAAACAGCAAATTAGTCTCTGGTTTTACATACTGTATTCAGTCTTAAGCTTCCTTCAACTGTTGAGAGAGTATAATGGTGACAAGTTTGTTTTAGACTATGCCAAGGAACTCTGAAAATCCATGCCAAGGTCACTTCAGTTCATGCCTTCTTTCTGGTGACAGGAAATGATCTCTTTATTCCACCTAGATTCTGACATGTCAGCTAGTCCGCTGTTAAAAGGTGGTGGTAGTCTAACGAAATGGATGTTATGGATGATGTATTTTATCATGCTGTTTTTAAATTGTGTTTTTAATATATTTTGTTTTATTTCATGTTTTAATCAGTGTCTGATAGTTGTATATCTACCTTGATCACTGTGTTGTTGTTTTTTGCTAGAAAGATGGCCTGTACCATAAATAAAGGCACTAATAATTTCATACAGAAATTCCCAAAGACAGAATTCCTCAAGTGTGGTGGGGTTTTTTAGAAGCTGATCTTATTAACACTCATCATCTCTGGAGTTAATTGCTTCCATTGCCATACTGCCCTAACATTAGAGAATAATATGTCACTCTCTGAAGCCTTTTGTAAGCCCTCACTTGCTTACAGACAACTCCTAATCTTAAATAACTTAAAATGATGCACAATGAACTACATGCTACAAGATTCCACAGGACAGACACATGGGAGTTAAAGTGGTATCAACCTGCTTTAGTACTATGTTGTAGACACACTCCTGAGAATATATTTGAGGGAGCAGGTCCCATAAAAGTGAAGATAGGAGTTAACTTTGGAGAAAAATATGCTTAAACTTATATTGAACAAATACATCCTTCTTAAGAGGAGAGATCGTTCATTCATTGGCAGTGAGGAAGACCTACACTGTGGCTGTTTATTTTTCTTCTCCAGTTGCAGTAGCAGCTTTGAGCTTCCAGACTATTTTAGGCTCTATAAATACCTTTGGGTTGCTATATCTGGAGAGTGGAAATCCCTAGAGAATGCTAAAAAGTTGTGTCTTTACTGTCACTCTTGATAAACTAGGAAAGGTCATTTTGTGCCCATAAGACACTAATTTGTTTACAAGACACACGATTTTTTTCCCCATTTTTGTTCATCATCTGCGGTGTTACAACAGTGCCATTTCCTCCCACTTCCTAAGCCTGTGAACCTGGTGCCCCCATGCTAACAGGACAGGATTGTTGAGAAGCATGTTCATTGAGAAGCAAGAGGAAAGGATCCTCGGGTTTGAATGAATCCCAAGTTATGCAGAAATGGAAAAACTACCACCAGTATCAAGGGACTAAACATACTAAGAAAACATGGAGTGCTATCAGCTGAAAAAGAAAAAATAGAAACTATGGTGGGAGCAATTACTCGTGTCCCCTAACACAAGGTTGGAGAATATTTAGCTTTCCAGATGTTGCTCGACATCTCCCACCCTATTGGTCATGATGAAGTGGCTGACAAAAGTTGCATACAAAATTACATATTAAGCCACCATAGTGTATTAAGTAACAGTGTACTAGCACTTTCACAGGACACTATTACAGATATGTTCTGCATGGCAAAGACAACACTTGAAACCTCCACCGGTACTTACGTAATACATATTTGTTGTATTATGCTTTGCTCATGATGATTACTCAAAGCATAGAGAGAAAGAAAACCCAAATCCTGAACAAAAGGGAAGGGTGATCATCTCAAGAGGAAACAGCTATTTAAAAAAATACAGCCTAGTGGAACTTAAACACAATGCAAGGCTATTTCAGCAATGTCCTGTAACTGTGTTGTCCAAATAGATGTTTTACATAAGAGAAATGAGCACAGTTGAGCCTTTTGTGCTATTGTTTTAAAGACAAGGAGGACTGCCTGCTTCCCAGCTAGAACCTTATTGGACTTCTCATTGGAGGTGAGAATGTTCACTGCAACATTTTGTTACAGGTGTCTCACCTGTGCCCATTTACTAGCAATGTCTGCTCAGCGGTGCCCATTTCCTCATTTGTGTAAATAACCAACACTTCCCTACAGGTGACCTAACAGACTAGACTGAATGCGCTCAGTGAAGTAGGGGGACCAGAAGATCAGCTGGTTTGCAGGAACAGACTGCTCCAAAGGACAGCAACCCCTACTGCGTTATTTTGTTATGACAGATCCCAGAGCTTGGACGTTTTACCTTCTTTGGACTAAAACTCCAAGAATTCCTGAGCAAATTCTGGGAGCTGAAGTCCTCAAAAGTCACATTCATAAAATCATAGAACAATTGACTTGGAAGTGGGGCTTATCAGGCCGTTGAGTCTAAACCACCGTTCGATGCAGGATCAAAATCAAAGCATGTCTAAAAGATGATTGTCCAGTTTTCTCTTGAATGCCTCCAGCACTGGAGCACTCACCACCTCCTGATTAGTTCCATTGTCGTACTGCTTTAACAGATTTTTTTTCTTATATTCTGCCTAAATCAGACTTCCTGTAGCTTGAGTCCATTACTACGTCTCCTGCACTCTAAGATGACTGTGAAAGGGTCCTGCCCATCCTCTGAATGACTAACTTTCAAGTAAATAAAAAATGCTATCATTTCTGAACTGCTTTTGAACTGTGGTGCTGGAGGAGACTCTTGAGAGTCCCCTGGACTGCAAAGAGAACAAACCTATCAATTCTAAAGGAAATCAACCCTGAGTGCTCACTGGAAGGACAGGTCCTGAAGCTGAGGCTCTAATACTTTGACCATCTCATGAGAAGAGAAGACTCCCTGGAAAAGACCCTGATGTTGGGAAAGTGTGAAGACAAGAGGAGAAGGGGACGACAGAGGACGAGGTGCTTGGGCAGTGTCATCGAAGCTATCAACATAAATTTGACACGACTTAACGACTAAAGAACAACAAACATTTCTGAGCCCTGGTTGATCTTATTAGCATTTTGGACTGTCGGAAGGAATTTCATATTGGTTCCCTCTGTACCAAAATTTTTGTAAATGATTTTTGTTAAGCAATGACATTTGTCTTTAATCAGTGTGGGAGGACTTACTGTTTCCATGAATGTTTATTTGAACAGGGCCGTTTCATTTAAGTCTGTCATATATCTTAAACTGCAGACAACCGTCTTTGATTAAAGGGTTGCTAGACTTCTAGACATCTTCCTGGACGTGTCCTCTGTGTGAAGGTCCACATCCACTTTAAAGATAGCGAAGAACTCCCAAAAAAGAAACAGGGAAAGCAGGGGCCTTTAAGGTGCCCATCAGTAGTTGACACTTAAGAGACCAGAGTGAGCAGGTCACTCAGGCACACAATCTTCACCCTATGGCAAGGTGTGCTGTGTTAGTGTGTGAAATTAGAAGATATGCTTTAAACAGTGTTTCTCTTTACATAAATGATAATTCTTATTTTATATTAATCTGTCTTCTCTTTAGTACTGTTTCTTAGTGATGTGTTTTGTTTTTTGCTTACTCTACAATGGGAAAGCTGCCAGACTAGTTTCGGTGAAATAGACACAAGCTTAATAAACAATAAAGTTAATTCAACACATTTTTTTCCAGAATCTGGCTACACTAGTTTGTGGGTTGATTGAATGAGTATACACCCTGCATTGTGCCTTTGTGATCCTCAGATCTGGCTGGTGTTTTGTTGGATAAACAGTGCAGATTATGGGGATGGATGGGTGAGGTTCAGAATCCTTAACCCTTTGGATACTATCTATGTTTATGAAAACATCAGTTTCAGAATAATGGGAGGGAAATGTCGAAGATGGCACACAGCTTGGAAAAATTACACTTTTCCAACATTGGAAGGGAACATCTGTAGAATTGTTTGAGATAATTTAATCCAGTCACATGAAAAATGTGTTGTGTTTGTTGCAAGATTTAAGTGTGTAATCAAAATGCTTCCAAAACTATTATCTCTTCCAGGTGGTGTTAGCGCTGGAATGGGTTATCCACTGGACACAATAAAGGTATTTCCATATTTAGTTTTTAAAATAAACCATTTGTTTATATTTGTTTTTTGTCAAAGCAGTAATGTATCAATTCTACCCATTACTGGCATAAACTAGGGAAGCCTCTCCTCCTTTCATACGAAATTTGGAAGGAGTGTATGACACGGTGGGGCACAGGATGCTGTGAAGATGTCTCCATTGGAGAGCATCTAAACCAGTCTGGAGGAAGTCCCTGCAGCTGCAGGAGAGACAGCATCCTAAGGAGAGACTGCTGGAGGAGGCAGGGTCAAGGGGAATAAAAGAGCAGAACTAGGAAGCCAAGGGATGGGGCTATTTGTATATGAATACCTCCAGATAGGTGGACATAACGAGGATCCAGCCCCCATCTCTAGTCACCATCTATCTTGGAAGAAGACAGGTGGGAGGGTGCCAGAAGCTTTTCACCCTTGCCAGGTTGATTGACTTGCCAGGCACCCAAGAATCCAGCCATGTGCTTGGGCAAGTCTTTGTTAGCCTGGATGCTGTGGCATCTCTGGAGAGTCAAGTGTGGGAAGAGACTGAGAGAGAAAGCTGCAGAGACTTAGTTCTTGTGCTTCATTTACACAAGCTTTCTTATTCTGGACCTATTTCCTGCCTTCCAGACCCTGGATTCTGGGGGAGTTTCTGTGAAATTAACTCAGTCCCCAAGCTGAGAAGTAGTTTAGAGACTGGAATTCGATCTTATGGAACTATGGAGTAAAAGGCAAAGGGGACAGCTGCTGTAATTCCAGTAAAAATTGATATAACAAAACAAAAGCCATGCTTTTCTGCTGTGTTGTTGTTGTTGTTGTTGTTCTTCTTCTTCTTCTTATTATTATTATTAGTAGTAGTAGTAGAAGTAGTAGTAGTAGTAGAAGTAGTAGTAGTAGTAGAAGTAGTAGTAGTAGTAGAAGTAGTAGTAGTAGTAGAAGTAGTAGTAGTAGTAGAAGTAGTAGTAGTAGTAGAAGTAGTAGTAGTAGTAAACAGCCATAGCACTAGATTAATGTTGCAGATAGAAAAGAAAAGAACAGATCAGATCACAAGGCTAGCCTGCAGCCCAAAACCTGTGATCCTGCTATCCAGTACTTGAGAAACCTCACCACAATTTTATCTGAGAAATATGAGTATACAGTACATGCAAAAACACAATTCAAAATAAGTCATGTGTCTAAGCTGAATTAAACAAGGCCCTAGCAGATTTTTAAAAAAAATCTCATTTCCTGAGCAAAAAATCATGCTTTCTGGCCAAAAGATGCACATTTTGTTGTATATTGTGTAAACAGATATTTTAGAACTGATTTCAAGTATGTTAAAACTGTTCCATACCCAAGAATGTTTGAACATCTATCCTCACCCTCTTTTGCTTGCTGCTAGGATAGCTACAGAACCATAATGGGGGGAAATAGAGATTTTTTTTCTGTAAATGCCTAGTTTAATCATTTCTAGTACATTGGCCTATTAACTAAACTGACATATTATCAGAGTCTATGAAGAAATTATTCTCCAGGTACAGATATATTTTATGAACAATGAGAAATGTTTGTTATGTACTGGAATAAGAAAGTGAGAAAAGAAACGTACCCTTTTGCTTTTTATGAATTGTTACAGAAATGTGTATTATTAATCAAATTTAGAGGGGGGAATGCCAAAATATTACCATATTTCCCCGAAAATAAGACAGGGTCTTTGATATTAATCTTTGCTCCAAAAAATGCATTAGGGCTTATTTTCAGGGGATTTTTTTCACTTCATGTACAGCAATCTACATTTATTCAATTACAATCAGGTCATCTTCATCTGGTTGTTGCAAAGTACTGTACAAGAGTGGAAGTGGGGTTTCACTTAACTGGGGCTTATTTTTGGGCTAGAGCTTATATTACGAGCATCCTGAAAAATCATACTAGGGCTTATTTTCAGGTTAGGTCTTATTTTCGGGAAACCAGGGTAGTACCTCTTTTTTCAAGCATGATGTGGATAATGGACTGTCTAAACTTAACAGGTGAGAATTCAGACGCAGACGAATTATCGTGGAATATGGCACTGTATCATAGACACATACAGAACAGAAAGCGTACGTATAGCAGAAGCCTTATTTCCTAATGACTAATGTATACAACTCTTTTTCTTATGAGAAAAGTTCTGGTGTTATTGAAAATGAACAGAATGAACACATAAAGAGGAGGAAGGTGCTAGCTCCAACCCTTGCTATAACATTTACATCGGTCTCCTCACCCACAAGACACCCTCTGAGGAGAAGAGGCCTCCCTGTTGCCTAGTGGCTTTCCATACAATCCATAATGCTGGATAATCAGAATTCCCATTATGAGGCAAGTTTCCATGAGTGCGCCTCTCTTGTCTCTTGGCGAGCTAGCCTCTACCTGTGGAGGCTAATGGAAATAATGACTGATTGGAATGGCTAATACACTTTTCTCCCTCACATGATTATTCTGTTCTGTTCAAATGCAATACAGCCATGCTGATGTGGGTTTCTGGGAACTGTAATTCAAAGAAGTAATTTTCCCCATCCCTGTGCCTAAATATGGCTGTAGCATCTCTTTCACATGCAAATTTTTCTTTGCGGCTATGAACTATGGCTGTTCCCCCCCCCCCCGGCTCATGGCAAAGAGCTGCTCTGATGTCTTCATCAGAAAGAGAACCTGTTGTTTTGCATGCTGTTGGATAGCAAACATTAAATAGCAGCTGGTCTGATACATATGGTCCGAACCATACCATCCATTACCAAGTGGTAAGGTACTGTGCTCTGTATGTAGGAAGCCAGTGGTATGTCATGCCCCATTGTGGAAACAAGAAGAATTTAATTACTAGTTTGATTGTTTTTAATGTATAATTTATTGTGTTTTTAATGTTTTTTAAACCCTCTAAGCTGCCTTGAGTCCCCTCATCTGGAGAAAGGTGGCCTATAAATGAGACAAATAAATAAACAAATGAATATATAGATTTTACCACTATTGTTTCTCCAGGTTTCTCGACTAGGTTTTGAAATGTATCAGTATCAGTGCTGACAAGGCATTGCATTCCCACCGACTTACCTCAGAACTTACACTTCTATTATACTTCTAGTCTAGGGTGGACAAAGTACAGCCCTGGGAAGGATGTGCAGCCTTCTAAGACTGACTTTGTGGTTACTAAATGCTGCTCTGCAAAAAATAAAAACATTTAAGAAAAGGAATATTGTACTTTTTTTGAAGCCACCAGGAATGCTGTGGTTTTGCAATAAAGTCTCCATTCCGCGCCCAACTCCCAAAAACCAGATTCTGACTTCCAGTAACATTTGGTTTTGATTTTTTTAAAAATCATTTTTGCTTATTTTAAGATCTGGTGCAGTTGCAGGTGGGTCCTGGAAGTGAAAAAGTGAGCCTTGGATCCTCTGAGTTAACTCCTATTCTATTATACAGTAGTACATACTATTTTCTTGGTATTCTATAGTGGTGGCTGTGTTAGTCTGTGCAAACCTATCAACAAGACACTCAAAACAAAAGCAAAAGGAAGGAAGAAAACAAATATGTTGTGGCATCTTAAAGACTTAATGTTATATTTTAATGTGAGCTTTCATGGAACAAGCCCCTTTTTTCAGAGGGAGGAGTGAGAATACAGAAGTACATGGCAAAATATTTATACAGGGCTCTAAGATAAAGAAATAGTGGTGATTGGTAGACTCAAGTTGCATTTCACACCTAATAGTCTTCTATACCTGAAAAACCCTGAAAGAGTCATCATAATCTAGAATTGACTTGACAGCACATTACAGTGGTGCCTCGCAAGACAAATGCCTCGCAGGACAAAAAAACCCGCAAGACAAATGGTTTTGGCAATGGGGGTTGATGACTCACAAGACAAATGTTCCTATGGCCGTGCTTCGCAAGACGAATGTTTTCCATTTTTTGTTCCTGCCTCTTGTTTGCTGATTTTTAAATGTTTTTCTATGATGTTTAAAAAGTTAGTTTTTTGATTGAAATTTTTAAAATCATCTGCACAATATGTATGGCTTTAAAGAGCACTTAATAAACCTAATAAACAAATTTGACTTTTTTCTGACTTTTTTGCCCATAGGAATGCATTAATTAGATTTCAAAACATTCCTATGGGAAAATGCGTTTCGCAAGATGAATATTTTGCAAGACAACATTAACCGCGGAATGAATTAAATTCGTCTTGCGAGGCACCACTGTATTATCATTATTAATGATTTAAGACCCCTGTTTGGTATTCAGTTCTTTGGAAACTTTGTTCTGCTTTGCCATGCAACCTCTGTATTCTCAACTCTTGCGTTGACTTCTTTCACAAAAGCTCACATTAAAATATAGCAGTTAATCTTTAAAGTGCCACAACATCCTTGCCTTCTTTGTTTGTTTGTTTACCTTTTTTGTTTTGTCTTGTGTTTCTTGCTGGTATGCCATAGTTAGCCATCCCGGCTGAATTTCTTTGCTGTTTTGTTTTTTGTTTTTATTCGTTTCCTTCTTTTGTGGGACCAACATGGCCACAAAGTAGAGAGAACCTAAAGAAGCCTTTCCCAAAGATGCCCTCCATATTTGTTGGCCTGCACTTTGCACCATTCTCAGTCCCCTTGGCTGATGGCCTTCCTGCCTGACGATGGTAAGAATTGTAGTCCAGCATATACAGAAGCTGTTGGTTTAAAGAATGGGGGTAAAAGCTTGGAAAGATATGTTGTGAAGTGATCTTCATTTTATTACCCTTATTTCCTTCTGAAAGAAAAGTACGACTACCATTTTTCCATGTGATGGAGATTTGGGCAGATGAAATAAAACGAGTGGCTTACACTTCTTTTGAAATCCTTTTTAAAATCCTAACCAGGTGCCAGGTTTCTACAGAGGTGTGTCAATGACAGTTGTAATGGCATCATTTATTTCGTCTATTTCGTTTGGCATCTACAAAAACTTCCTTCATAACATCTGCAAGTTACGCTACGGCTCTGGAGACAGCAAGCCATCCAAACTGGATATATCTTTTGCTGGAGGTGCTACCGGTGCCATCCGGGTAGGTTGACAGTACAGGAATACGGATTTTAGTTTGCAAGTTCCTCAGGTCAGAGATCTGTCCTTCTTGCTCTTTAAACTACCATAACTGCTGTTACTGTGGAATAAATTCGGATGTGGAGAGTATCTCCTGGGGCCAAATGCAGCGCCCTCTTTGGTTACTTTTGCAGCCTCTCGACCTCCCACAGTGCCTTCTTTTTAAAAATCCGATTTGGAATTCCTGAAAGCTTCTGGGAGCAGTAATTCACTTTTTAAAAATAGGTCAGAGCGTTCCTTGCCCCTTTTAACACCTTAAAGTATCAGTTTTTCAAACCTAAAAGTTAATTTCAATCTACTTATATTTTAGAAGCTCCTGCAATAAAAAGTGGGTGCCAACTGCATCAAAGTTGCTCATCCCCAGTGTGCATGCATGAATGAATGGCCAAAATCCTTTTACCTAGCGTAGAAAATTGCACTTAGGTAGGCCCACTGAGTCAATGGAGATTTGCTAAGTCAACTCCTCCATAAGTTCTATTCAAAAGTTGTCATAATCATTGAACAATCCATTATGCCAGTGGAGAGGAACTTCTGGTTTTCCATCCATCCATCCATCCATCCATCCATCCATCCATCCATCCATCCATCCATCCATCCATCCATCCATCTTTGGTTTTCCATCCATCCATCCATCCATCCATCCATCCATCCATCCATCCATCCATCCATCCATCCATCCATCCATCCATCCATCCATCCATCCATCCATCCAGACTTCATCTCCATCAGAGATCTGTGGTTAGAAATAAGTGGCTGTTTCAACCTTGGAAAGTTTTGCACAGGGATGAGCTCTGTTCTGCACACTGGAGATGTTTTGCATGGAATAGCAGCTCCACTTTGCAGTCGGGAATCTGAGGCTTGTTTCTGAGAAGACTTGCAGGGAGCCAAGCTGTGGTTTGCATGCCTGAAAGCTGTTCCACTGAACATATAGGTGTGGTTTGCATCTGACCCCACATACTTTGTTTTGGCCCCAGCTGATTTTCATAGAATCATGGAATAATGGAGTTGGAAGGGGCCTATAACGCCACCAAGGCCAGCCCCTTGCTCAATGCAGGAATCCAAATTCAAGTATATCTGAAATATGGTTTTCTATTTTCTCTTGAATGCCTCCAGCATTGGACAGCTCAACACCTCCCGCGGTAATTGGGTCCATTGTTGTACTGCTCTAACAGCTAAGATTTTTTTTCCTGATATTCAGCCTAAATAAACCTGGCTTCCTGTAACTTGAGCCCCTTCATACATACCCTGCATTCCTGGATTATTGAGAACAGATGCTGCCCCTCCTCTTTCAAGCATTTGAAGAGAGCTGTCACATCTAATCTCTGCCTTCTTTTCTCACGGCTGAAAATGCCCAGTTCTTTTAGTCTTCCCTCCCTTTACCTAGTTCATTTTTTCTTTGTTACCTTTTTTGTTTCTTCTCTCTTTTTGTCACCTCAGTTTCTCCTCCTCCTCCTCCCCATCCCCATCTCTGCCACATGCACTTTTTCTCTCTTATTTCTTCTGTCTTGCCTTCCTCGTTCTTTCCAAGGGAGCCTCCATATGACAATTAGGCTTTGCCGTTGATACGCATTTTACTACAGTATGTACTTTTGTATACATAGCAGAGGCCTTTGGGAGTGTCTTAAAAAGTGAAAGGAGGAGTCTATATAGATTTGACCCACATATTTAGAGGGGCCAGGGCCAATTCTCTGCCCCTGGGACTCATCTGGATCTGTTTCCTGCTCCCCAGAATTGTGCAAAAATAGAGGAGTAATCAACATAGGAAAACGGCCACTTGTGGTTTTTAATTCTTCTAGTTTTGAAGGATTTAGGGGGTTCTGGATACAGTTTTAACACAAAGCCACCACTCTTGCAGGCTTTCAGGAGTGGAGAGAAACCTCTTTTTTGGGCAACAACTGGTTGGTGGGACAGTGTGGATGGGTCTGTGATTTGCATGGAGGTTGTGGACTTAATTTGACCCATTCCCGGTGCAGCCTAAATAAGTAAAGGTGACCATTTGGGTGAGGCAAAGGACCAAACAGGATATGTATGTTTGGGGGTACAGGGTCAGGAGCAGCAGTTTCTTTAACATGGATGTCCACCTGTTTGGGAATATGTAAAAACTAGCTAAGGGATGAACTAACACTTCCTGATTCTGTTTTCCAGGTTCTGCTTATATCACCTGCAGAGATAGCAAAAGTGAGACTCCAGATCCAGAAAGAGCCGCACTCCGCAAGTGGGCCATCCCATCTCTTGACCTCCAAGCCCAAGTACCAAGGGGCTGTGCATTGCTTGAGGATGATTGTGAAGGAAGAAGGCTTTGGGGGTCTGTACAAGGGGTCATTGGCCCTGCTGTGTAGGGACTGCCATTCAACTGCGACCTATTTCCTCACGTATTCTCTTCTGTGTGAATGGCTGACACCAGCTGGGAAAGACAGGCCAGGTAGGTGCAGAAATGGAAATGGTTTGTGTCAGTAGCTTTGAAAAACTTCCTTGACCGTCTTCTTTGTGAGAGACTGATGTTCATTTGTTCCAATATGTGAGTCACTTTATGTAGTGGTCACAAAATGAGAAGGCTGACAGTATAGATCACTGGTTCTTAACCTTGGGTTACTCAGGAGTTTTGGACTGCAACTCCCAGAAGCCTTCACCACCAGCTGTCCTGACTGGGGTTTCTGGGAGTTGCAGTTCAAAAGCATCCGAGTAACAAAGGTTAAGAACCACTGGTATAGATGATTACAAGAAATTAAGAAAGCAATTAGTTTTAGAGAGAGAGCAAAGAAGTCAGTCACACACCTTGGCCAGAAGGGATCCCTTTTATTATTTACAGACTGTTGATAGTATACAGATAGGATAAGGGTTACATAATGCTGATTAGGAATGGCCAAAGAAAGGCTTTGAAGTTAGCTCTCTATCTCTATGAGAAAGAGGATGAATGAGTAGCCGCTCCTCCCCTCAGAAGCAGTGCATCATACCCAGGAGAGGATGCTCTACACTGAAGAACAGATAACAGCCCAGCAACCTTGGGGAGCCCCCCCCCCCACAACCTGAAGAGGCAAAAGCAGAAGTGGAGTACATGTGACTTCCGAGCCCAACATGGACAATGGTCAGGGATGATGAGAATCACAGTCCGGAGATAATTTGCACATGGATTGGAATGTCCTCTGTTAAGTAGGACAAGTGGCTATCTTTTTCTTGTTCACCTTCTGGGATGAATGCTACTATCAGAATGGATAAACTCCAAAGCATGTGTCACATTTGTTAACTTACTTTTCACATGTTATATGAGGACTATGGGAGGGGCGTCCCCTGCACTGGTTCCTAAAGGTGACAGAAGAGCCCACGTGTGATTGCATGATGGAGGCATGCTGCATGTTTTTGCTCTCTCCTGCACTGGTGCTCAAGGCTGCCCACAGTTTACCCACCACTTTTGCCAGACCATTTCCTCACATATTCTCAGAAATCTTCAATGGCCCTGAGTAGTCAGGAAGATTATCCATAAGTAGAGGTCATGGGATCAAGGGCACAGAAGACAATTATGTTTATTGTAGAGGGTTCCCAACCTTGCGTAACTCAGGTGTTCTTGGACTGCAACTCCCAGAAGCCTTCACCACTAGTTGTGCTGGCCAGGTTTCTTGGAATTGCGAGAACAACCTGGGTGACCCAAAGTTGGGAACCACTGTTGTGGAATCATGGGATAGATCAAGGGGAGAAGAGAAACCAATATAGAGAAGGGGAGACTAGTGTGTGAGCTGTGATTAAGGGGCTTAGGAGAAACAAATGAAACTCTAATTATACAATTATAATTGCAGTCATCTGAGTATAGGAACTCTATTATATTCTATTTGTTTAAGTGCTCTTGCTGTGATCCTCAGCCAAGAAGTAGAACCTGTTCATGAATGATAGAAGTGGAAGTGGGTGTTTATCAAATGTGATGTCAGGGATGAACTATAGGTTGTATTCCACTTATTCATATACAGTGGTGCCTCGCATTACGACATTAATTCATTCCAGTGAAATCACTGTAGAACGAAAATGTCGTAAAGCGACTTTTAAAAGCCCATAGAAATGCATTAAAACCCGGTTAATGCGTTCCTATGGGCTGGAAACTCACCGTCCATTGAAGATCCTCCATAGCGCGGCCTTTTTCACTGTCTGTGCAGCGAGGAATCCACCCAGAAAACAGCGGTGGCCATTTTGTTTACCCAGCGGCCATTTTGAAACCGCCGATCAACTGTTAAAAAACCATCGCTTTGCGAGAATCGGTTCCCGAAGCAGGGAACCGATCATCACAAAGCGAAATTCCCCCATAGGGAACATTGTTTTGCGATCGCTTTTGCGATCACAAAAACATCGATGTCAAGCGGTTTTGCCGTTAAATGGAGCGCCCGTCTTGTGGGGCACCACTGTATTAGTTAAATATATATATCCATCCTTTTCTTCAAGAAGCAAACTCTTCTTCCTCATTTTATCTTTTCTCAAAAGCCCTGAAAGGTAGATTAGGCTGAGATATATTGATTGGCTCAAGATCACCCAACATGCTTGATGGCAAAGGGGTCATTTCAACCTGGGCTTCCATAGTTTGATGCTCATACCATTACACCCCATTGGTTAGCCTAGAATACGCCAGAGGCCAAGAGTTGCAGGACCAGCCAGGAGTCCAGTTATAAGGTCAAGTTTGAAATGGAGAGAAATATAAGAGGTGGGATTGAAGAGCAAAGTGTGAGTCAGAACTGAAGAATAACCAAGATTACAAGAGCACACAAAGCTCAGGAAGATCTGGTTGTTCAAGCAGAACAGGAAGTTGTCTTATACTCCATCATTTTCAGGAAGGTTCAGTGGCCAGCACTCCAGGGGCTTAAGAGCCATGACGCAAACAAGGAGAGGGCTAGAGAGCAAATGGTGGAGGTTCCCTCAGATGTTAATTCATCTGCAGTCAATAAGACGAGGAAGTACTGTAACACAGTAAAGCTGCAAAAAGAGTATACAACATCAAATAGATCGGTGACACCTCAAACCAGCAGGCAGAATTCTGCCAGATGGTTTGTGGCCTCTTCCAACTCCTGACATTCAGGAATTAGTGAAAACAAAATTATACAAAGCTGTCTTCAATAACTTATTCCCATGATACCGTTTGTGGGTGATTACAGAACAAAGCAAGGCTAATTGCCTTAGAACAAAGGAGTCAACAACGGATGTCCAAGCCAGCGGAGTCTCAAGGCAATGCCCTGAGAGCTCTTTTTATTGACTTAGCATGAGTTACATAGAATTCAGATAGGATACTAGTTATCTAATTGCAACTAGGATTGGCTGAAATAACCCTTTGATCTTATGCTCTACCTCTAAGTGAAAGGGCAGAATAAGGGGTTCCCCTGCCTGCTGGCAGTTGCCATTTCCTGCCAGGAGTGTATGCACGTCACTGGAATCGCTGCAGCTACAACCTTTAAGCAGAAGTTTCCCACAACTGTTATTATTAATTATTAATTTTTAAATTTTCATATGAATTTTGGATCTATGTCTGTCAACCGCCATATGGATTGTATGGTTCTTGGGGGTCGTGTCGAGTTCTGGGTTTTAATTTGTAAAACACCCAGAGTAGTGTTTCCAAAAAAGGGGTGGTATATGAATCAAATCAATCAATCAACCACCAGTAATGCAGGTGCTACCAAAAAAACGCAGCCTTGTTTTTCAAACTACATTGCAGCCTGCATGTTTTCTAGGGAAACAAGTTCCTTTTCTTACCAATAACATTTGAGCCCTGAGGGAGATGCCAGGTTCTCCATCATGGAAGCAAAGCCCCGGAGAGAGGAATCTGAATCTCACAACAAACTGTGTTGTCCATGGGTTGTACTACGTTCTCATCCAACCATGGAACCAGGTTGAACCAAGCTGTAAAGATCAAGAGAAGGGAAATTTGTTGGGAGATAAGCATATTTGGATCTCCCAGCCATCAGGGAGAAGTAAAACAGGTTTTGTCAGAAGAGGAAGAAAAAACTGACTTCCACAGACTAAAGAGAGAGAAAGGAATACTCAGCAGAGAGTCATTGCTGTTTTTGAAATAAGAGGTAGGTGGGAACAAGCGATCAGAGCAGGATAGACTGACAAGTCACTCCAGTCCAAAAAAGTCTCCCACAGTCAAACAAACTGCAGGCATGTGAGGTTGCAAAAAATTTCAACAAAAAAACTATCTGTCTTTTATATTTGAGTAGTCTAAAAAAGTTATTGCCCACCCTTGTTTTTGGATTTTGTGCAAGGACTACACCACTTTTTTTCTTTAATAAAATTAAGTTAGAAAATATGTTGATTTTAATGGTTACCTGTTATAACTGTATTTATTCCTTTAGTTGTGTTGTATTGATGTATAGCAATGGTGGCCAACCTTGGGTCCCCAGATGTTCCTGGACTAAAATTCCCAAAAGCCCTCACCGTTAGCTGTGCTGGCCAGGATTTCTGGGAGTTGTAGTCCTATAGCATCTGGGAAAGCAAGATGGGGAAGCACTGATATACAGCATTAGAGCTGTCATTAATATTCTTTGCATAATGTGGTCTCCAGGTTTGGGATATTTGCTTTTGCAATATTTTGATTTTTTTTTTAAAGTTTATTAACATGACTGCAAATGATGTATGCAGATCTGTGGGCTGTCCTTCTTTCTGGAGGCTCTGCTGGAGTAGTAGCCTGGGGTGTGGCAACGCCAATGGATGTCATTAAATCCCGGATGCAGGCTGATGGCGAGTGTCAACGCAAATACTCTGGACTGATGCACTGTGCCAGGGACAGCATAAGAGAAGAGGGTGTGAAAGTTCTCTTCAAAGGTATTGGCTTGAACTCCCTGCGTGCCTTTCCTGCGAACATGGTAGTTTTCTTTACTTATGAGGCTGTGCTTCGGCTTGGAAAACGTTTGCTGCAATAAAAGATTTAATCGCAACCTAAGCCTTCATAGTTATTCCTTTCAGAAGGGGCTGGATCAAAATGCGCAAGGGACTTGCTTTCAAGAAAACTTTCTGTAGAATGGAAAGTCAGTTTTTCTGGGTGGGGTGAGGGTGCAAATTGAAGAATTGGAGATGTCTGTCAGAACAGTTCTCCCAACATTTCATTACATTGCCCTGAGCCCCCGTGATGCAGTGGTCACAACCTGAGTTTAATCCCAATGGGTTCAACTAGCTGGCTCAAGGTTGACTCAGCTTTCCATCCTTCTGAATTCAAACCTCCCAGAGAGTGCTCTAAATAAGCAGGGCAGTATATAAAGTGAAACTGTTGGACTTATTTCAACCTCGTAGGCTGCCTTTAAGAGGTTTGGTTGGGATGGACCTTTCTGGACTGGGGTCATTGTCAGTCATTCCAGCACTAGCCAATTATTCTTTCCCTGCCTCTGATTTCAAAGAGCCATGCCTCTCTGCTTAGGAGTCTCCCCCCCCTCTTTTTAGTCTGCTGGCAGTTAGTGTGCAGTTATGCAGTTGGTAGCTGAGAATGTAGTCTGCTGGAGTCTGGCTGTGGAGTCTGCTGAGGCCTGCTACTCTAAGCAGTCTATTTGTATTTTTGATCTGTTCAGCTGTGAGTAAATGAAATCTTTTTAATTCTTTCTCTTACCAATATCTCAGAGTGAATTATTGAGACTGCCAGTTGATGAGAAGCCGTAAGGGGTGGTAGCTGGTTCTGGTCTGTTAAGTCCCTGCGCTTCTGCTGTGCAGCTAGAGGTTTTTAACCAAAATTCAAACTCTGCAACAGAAACAACGTTATTTTGCAGAAGATTGGCTCACTGTAGCTTCTGATGCCCACAGTGCATTGTAGAAATTTAAAATGTCAGCTTCCAGACAAAGGGTGCTAATTCAGAGCACTGCACCTGCTTACTACATTCACCAAGGAAAAAGCTCCCCCCCTTTCCCCCCCAGTCAGCTCTGTGACCATGAGAACCTTGGAGGGACAGATCAAAATATCTCTGCTCCAGCATTTTTATAATACCGCAGCCAACCTGCTTTCACTGGGAAGACGATAAGCAGGACCTGAGTGCAAAAGCACGCTCTGTCCACATTCCCCAGCATCTGATAAGCGTGTTTATAGATACTTGGCTGCAAAACCTTGGTGCTCCCAACATTGACTTGAACTCAATCTGCTCATTGTTAACTAAAATAACAATGCTATTCTCTTGATTGGCCTTCAGAGTCCAAGAAAAAGATACCTCATGGAACCAGCCACATTTTGCCCTGCCTTTGCTACAAAACAGCAGATTGCGGTGAGAATAATTGTGATGTATAGGAAAGGGCAAATGACCTCCAATTTGCATTGTTTCACAAGAAACCCTTGGGCGTTTGATGCTAATAGCTCAATCCCCATTCATGCAATTTTAAGCCTCATCATCATCAGATATTGCTTTCAAAAGCTTTTCCAAGAATCTTGGTGGATGTTGTATATGGCGATGATCTTCAGCGCTATGCCACTTACTGCAAACGGAACCACCAGCAAGACCTGGATACAACAATTTTTGAGCAAGATCCGGCCAATTTATCTCCTAGTTTCTCTAAATTGATGAGTACTGTAAGTTAAAGAAAAATCTTGAGGTTTACAGCTGCCCGGCCTAAGCTTACTGGATAATGCAGCAGCAGGAGTAGCCAAGTAGAAGCTAGACAGCCATCTTAGGATGGCCAACAAGAGGGGGCAAAAAATAACATGGATGTGAAACTAGCATGTGCTGCTTTATATGTGTAGATTAAAATTCAGGAGTACTGTAATTTGCATTGAAACTATGTATTTCATAACAGCAGGGAAGAATGTGACCAGCCAGGCTGCTCCATCTGCTGTCCAGCTGCTAGCAGCTGATGGGCATCTTCAGATTTACAGGGGGAGGCCCTTCCCATAATTTGTTCCTTGGGAATACCAGGAACTGAACTTGATATGTTTTGCAGGCCGAAACAGGTGCTCTCCTGATGAGCCACGAACCTACAATACGGTGGGCAAAGCTGACATAAGCTACTGTATCCAAAGGACAGGCAAGCAGCTGTCTTCTAAATGTTTTGGACTAAACCGCAGCCAGCATCAACAAAGGCTGTGGACTATGGGAATTGTAGTCCAAAGTAACTGGGGCATATGCTTTTGCCTAGTGCATGAATTGGTGTGGATAAACTCCAGGGTGCATGTCTGCCCCCTTTACATTCATTTGTGACAATTTCTGGATTGCTGTGATGTGTTGGTGTGAAACAGGTTTCTTATGGAGAATTGGATTGTTTAATAACCAGATCACTATAAACATATGGGTTAGGAGGATTAGAGGTAGTAGGACAATACATTGGAAAATAATTGTAATTGTTCATGTGAACTGCTCATTTCAATAGGAGAAGATCCACATGAACAATTTTAAAACAATACTGCTTTGACTTAGCTGCATTATTTGTAATGGTCAGGCTGTGCCATGGCACGGAAATGCCATTGGTCGCCCTGCTTGATTACCTTTTGAGGGAGGCCAATGGGTGCAAAATGTCTTTGTTGGTTCTCCTTGATATCTCAGCTGCCTTTGATACTGTCAATCACGGTATCCTCCCGGAGAGGCTCTTGCTTGGCTCCAATCCTTCTTGGAGGACCGTTACCAGAAAGTCCAGCTTGGAGAGAATTTTAGGGAGACACGCTGTCAGGTAACAAGATATCTGGGCAGAATGGCTTCTCTGCCACCTTCCTACCTTGGCCTTTTTGTAAAATGTTTTCACTTTTTTCTTCTTCAGTAGTGCCACTATTGTACAAAAGCAAAGCAGGAAAAAACAACAACTTTAAGACAGATCATCCTCTCCCCCTACCTCCACACCAAATATGGTACACTCTCCATCAACATGTTGCAGATTGTTAGTCCAACCTTCTATCCACATTCATCTCTATTGCACATACTCTTTAGGCTAGGATGATTTGAGCACTTGGAATAATGTGTTTTCAATACAAGTCAGGCAGCAATATCCTTTGCTTCCAATTTGCATCAACACATGATACATACAAATGCATCCTTCTGTGCTGCATGAGATCAAGACTTCTCTAATCCATCTGTCTGCAGCACCTTGTCATGGGCTCATGACAAAGGCCTCCCTTTCTGCTCAGAATTTGGTTATGTGACCAGCACATTACTCCACCCTGTCTCAAGGGATCAGTGTGAGTAAAATTAATGCTGTCATGTCTCATAACCTCTAGAGCTTAATGATGCAATATTGATCAGTGAAAGGTTGGTATAGGTCAGAGGCAGGAGATAAGTTTTGGGCTGGAGCTGAATTCTGTTTTGGGAATTTCGAATGGAGGGCAGGGAAGACATAATTTTTTTTACCAATGTGGGTATCTACCCACAAAACATACAAACCATGGTTCAGTGCTTTGCAACAGGCTCTTAAGCTAATCATTCCCAGACAAGAACTTCCCAGGCTCAGAACAGGCTATGGATTGCACTTATTTGCCTTTTCAATGTGTCTGTTGCTTCCAGGTTTATTGCTTAAAGGGAAATCTGCACATGCCCAGTGCCTATTATGAGTAAGAGCAAATTTTGTGATGCACAGATTGTTCATATCACACCTAGCCAGGCTTTGCTTTTTTAGCAGAGTATGTACACATAATTCTAATACCTGTACATATTATCAGGCCCAAATAAACATGCATTAATATACTGGCAGAGAAGTGTTCAACACCAATAAATGCTCTTGTATTCATTGGAAGAAAGAAACTTGTTTTAGTAAAACATCAATCAGCTGAGGTCTAATTTCCCCACGATTCTGGGTATAAGAAATCATAATTTGTTTTCTTTAGTAGATTACTTACTTATTTGGCACATATTTTTTGGATTTTTCTCAGGTAGAGAAATAAAACTGGAAGGCAAAATCTAGTTGCCTTTTCATGAACTGATGAGACAGCTCAAGTCAGCATTGTTATTCTACAGTTCATGAGCACTAGAAATTCATATCAAGAAACACTGAAATAAAGTCCCTACTGGCTGAGAACACAACATATTTTCAATTATGTAAAAAGTAGTTATACAAATGTCAAGGACAGTCTGTTTTGTGGGATGCTTAAATGCTTGTTTTTGCATTCAAAAGTCAGCATTGAAACTCTTTTTCCTAAATTATTGTCCTAAAGTTTCATGTTCATTGTGTATCCAGCAAATCCCACTAATTAAATGGGACTTAGACAAGAGGAAGTTTGACAAACTATACAGCCGGGCTAACTTTATTCCTCACTATTTCAAATAAAGGAATACACAAACTCTGTGTTTTCAACACAAGCCTGAGAACTTGCTTTGTATGAAATATTCAGTTACAATTACAGTATATTCTGTGGACTACCTCTTGTTGAAGTATTATATGAACAACAAGGGACATAAATAAATAATATTAATAGTTACAAACATATTAAAACAGAAACAAAGACTCATTTGTTTCTGGGAGTCACAGCTTGGTGATTTTCAGTTCTTTTATCTGAAGATTTAACACTTGTATATGTGGTTCTATTGTGGTAACCTCTCAGCGGCCATGCTCTTCCTGAAAACTAGCAATTATCGTAAGTTTCACCAGGTTTTATGCAGTAGGAATGTATGTGGTTTGCCAAAATCCAGACTCTGTCACAAAGTCCAGTACAGCCAGTGTAGGTCCTGAAAAGCTACCATTCAGAAAAATATTAACCAAACTGCAATTCAATGCTTTGAAATGTAGACATGAACATCCATATGACTGCGCCTGGGAAACTCACAAACACAGCATAATTTGAGAATGCAATCATACAGTCAAGACCACTGTATTCAAACACCTGAAAAGGAAAAAAAATATAATGTACTGAAATAAAGTTAAACTTAACTTTGAAACAGAAACTCCTACCAGGTAGAAAATCATGCCTAGCCTAAAGCATCAGAATCTCACATTACACTGAAATCTTTATTAATGTGATGTTAGCACTTTTCTTAATAGCATGTTCTATGAAACAAGACACATAATCTTTTGCAGATGATCAGGTTATCCCGCTAACCTGTAGTAGTGCAGTCAAGTTTGCAACTCATATGGCTCCTCCTAACACAGATACAATATTTTCCCAAGTAGTCAGTGATGGTGAATAAGGAGAACGTTGTACATAATTTGTTTGAAGTAACACTGACAGCAGCTTGAACATTATTTATGGAGAGGCAACATGTAAGAGGTTGTGATAGCAGCAATCCACTGTATTCTACTAACATCTGCTTTGAGGATTAAAAATCAAATGCCAGCTTTCGCGGTGTCATGAATTCCTTCACCATTTCATCTGTGATCTGTTTCCGTCTTTGCTGATGAGTTGCAATCATGGGCTGAAGCGTTTCTATCAGTGTCTTCTTGAGTTCTCCGGTCAACAGCGCTCCACTTGTATAGGCCTGCCAAGAGAAAATCATGATCATACGAGTAACATCTGGGGGAAAAAAAACTCCTGTGAGCATCTTGAAAGGACTACTATTGGTATGCTCAACATTTGTCTTTCACTAATCAGACACACCTCTCCTATCAATGAATCTATCAAATTGCAACAAAAATTGATTCTTTAGGCACAGAGTACTGGGCAGGAGATTCGATTTGTTGACATGTGCTGTGTCTTTTAATTCAAATAGCTGATATTGAGAAACATATCAAAAATTAGCCACCTCTTATTTTAGAACACTGTGCGGAGCACAAATGAAGGGGAAACGATAGAGTTTCTCAACTTCTAAAGGCAAACTTACGGGTTCTTACCTTGTTAATGTTTTTAATCTTATTGCCTATTTATCATTTACTATTGTATGTTTTTATTTATTGTTGCAAACCACTCAGAATAGTGCTTTGCACTAACAGTCAGTCAGTCAATCAATCCAAGATTCATTTCCACACTGGCTGAGCAACCATCTTACATAGATATTCTCAGAGGATACTATACAGCTTTTACTAATTCCCAAAATATTCAAAAGGCGGAAGTACTTTAACCATGTGCAGAAATGAAGAGTGACAGAAGATGGCTGCATCTTACTGATGTTAAGCCTTCGCTTTGCCCATGGTGCAAGTGTGGTCTCAGCCAGTCAAAGCTCCAAGGACCACTTTTTTGAGCAGCCTCTTGTTGATGCCTGGTGTCAAAAGATATTTAAAAATCACACACTACACTATTCTATTCCAGCACATTTCAATAGAGCCTGAATCATTCCATGTTCTGTCAGACAAGATATCATGATATTGGAGGACAGACTACCATGTGCACCCATACAGTAATAACGGTGGTTCCTAGACCCTGGGGGAAATGATAGCACAACAGGAGCAGAACCCAGCAATTAAGAGGCGGAATATGGTGGGGCTGAGAACTGAGAGGTAACAAAATGGTATGGGATGATAGCTTCAGGCTAGAGGCATGGTTTCAAAGTCCTAGGATAAGAGAAATGAGGTATGGGAGAAAACACAAGGTTGGGGAAAAAGGTACTAAGAGAGAAGTGCTGAAATATATGGAAGGATTGGAGGGGAGAGGCAATTATAGCATGCCCTTGCAAAGCATCAGTTGAAGCAGATCAGAGATGGGTACAAACTGTTGGCTCATTGGTTCATGACAGTTTGTTTATTGCATGAACAAGTGTTCGAAGCTATAAAGCCCTACCTCCTCCAGCTGGTGTCCACTCAGAGGAAGTGCCCCAGCTTCCCTACCCCACCTCCTCTGGGCACTGCCTCTGAGTGGGCGCCTGCTAGAGGAGGCAAGGCTTTGAAGTGCCAAACACCTGTTTGGGTGATAAACGATCCGCTAAAGGTGCCCATCTGTACAGATAACATGAAAGGAAGTATTGAGAAATTTCTAGTTTTTGTCATTCCAGGATTTTTTTAGAGGCGGTTTTTTAGCTGCTGCCTCTACTAGCAGCTAATTCAGGGCTGTTATCCTGATCCTGTTATTTCAGTGGTGCTTCCCTATACTAGATTTAGACCTCTAAGAAGGGAACATAGAACTTTGGGAAGGGAAAAATGTACTTGCTGAGTGAAAACTGTGGAATAATGATTTTATGAGGGTGATAAAGCATCTTTATCTGGTTAGCTCAGTGGTTTAGGTATCTGGCTGTGGAGACAGAGGTTGGGAGTTTCATTCTCCATTGTACCTTCAGGAAGAAAAACCAGCCTGTGTGACCTTGGGGAAACTGCACAGTCCCAGGGTGCCATCAGAAGAAGGGAAAGTTAAACCACGACTGAGTGTTATCTATCTGGAAAACCCTGAAAAGGGTCACCATAAATCAGAATTGACTTGATGACACAATTATTATCATTAAAGCATCTTTAGAGCAAAGAGAAGGCAATTACCTGCTTGATTTGCTCCAGTTTGTCATCATCTTCAAGGAAGAAGGTGAGGTACATGTAAGACACATCTACATCACAGTTTCCCCCATACTTCCTATGCTCTTCAACAGTGTCTTTGCCGCCTGAAAATGCATGTTTATTGATCTGAAACAAGAGACAAGAATTTCAACAGGTCATAAACAGTTTTACATTTTTCAGTGTGCACAATGATCAGCTATTGGAGTTAGTTGTTACTGCTCATTGTATATGACTAAACACCTGACGGAAAAGTGACTACAAATGGATTTATAAAAAAAATACTGTAAATGCATTCAGTGGCATTTGCCACAGAATGACTCTTCGAATCAAGGGATGTAAAATCCAAAAACAGTGAAGTCCTTCCTACACAGGGGTTGTCTATATGCCATTCTTTACCTCGTTCTAATAATTTACTGTGCCATAAAGAAGTACAATGACCTAAGACAAGATAATGACTTTTAAAAGGCATTGCATTTTGCTTTTATTTCTGCTGCTTTTAAAATGCTATTTTCCAATATGGCATTTTACTGTTCGTTTTACTATAAAAACTTCAATGTTGTATAAACAGCCCAGCTGTCTACTGAAGAACAGGGATTTAAATCCATTAATAAAAACAAGTGCCTTAGTTGTATATGAAAAAGTATATGTGCATGCATTCTCTCATTTTGCCCCCTTTTGATATGTATTTTAAAGTATACTCATCAGAAATGAAACTTTACATTTTGTGCAACATACTGAATTACTACCTCCCAAAGTAAAGAAAGCCCTGTCAAGCCCCTGGCCCCTAAACACAGCTTACTTTAGTGATAATAAGACCATCAGGTCGCAGGTTTTGTTCCATCACTAATAGTCTGTTGTGCAAGTTCTGTGAAACGTTTATTACTCTTAGGGATTACCCTCTGCACCATTACATCAGCAGTGAGTACAGCCGTACATACATGTTGTGAAACAGCTTTTTTCCCCAGTTGCAATGTTGGGAAGGTTGCTCTTAAATTAATCTTCTGTGGAATGGCAGCTTAAATGAAGAATATGGGGGTACCAACATGAAAAGCAAACTTAACCATGACTACGAATCATGTATTGTCCTCTTAGATCTTTCCTTTATGATGCATTCCTTGGTCAAGATACCACAGTGCAACAAACCCAGTGTAGTTTCTTGGTAAACTGTTGTGATGATTGCTTACTCAAACATGGTCCAAGGGGAGGGCCAATAATACTGTCTACACAGGCAAAGAGGGTGGGATGGCAGACTATAATGGCTTGCCTAGGAATGGTCAACATGCAGCAGATGATTCCTGGTGCAGTGCAGGGGTGGGCAGGAGAACATAAGATCTGTTGGCTTGATTTACAGCACAAGGTGTCACTCTTCAAGGCCATGAAAACCTAGCATGTACTTTTAAGGGGGAAAAAAGATAAAAGATAAGAAGGAAAAAAGGGATATCACTAGCCTAGCATTTATGTCAGTTCCAGGCCTGTGGCAGGTGAACAAGTAGGATGTTTAGTATTTTTATTTATTTATTTATTAGATTTATACCCCACACCATCTGGCAGCCAGGCCACTCTGGGCGGCTAACAATAAGACAAACACAATATTAAAACACAATAAGAATAAAATAATACATTCAACAGATACAGTAACTAGTAGGATAAAGCAGATGGCTATAAAGATGGTGGGACGTGGTGGCGCTGTGGGCTAAACCGCAGAAGCCTTTGTATGCTGCAGGGTCAGAAGACCAGCAGTCGTAAGACCAAATCCACATGACAGAGTGAGCTCCCGTCACTTTGTCCCCGCTCCTCGCCAGCCTAGCAGTTCAAAAGCATGTAAAGGCGAGTAGATAAATAGGGACCACCTCGGTGGGAAGGTAACAGCATTCTGTGTCTAATTCGCACTGGCCATGTGACCATGGAAAAATTGTCTTCGGACAAACGCTGGCTCTATGGCTTGGAAATAGGGATGAGCACCGTCCTCTAGAGTTGAACACGCCTGGATAAAAATTGTCAAGGGGAACCTTTACCTTTACCTTATAAAGATGGTAAAAAGGCTGATGAAAGGATAGCAAAAAGAATGATAAAAGGGAAGGAGAGATATCAACAACTTAATGCTCAGGGAAAGCCTGGTGGAAGAGCCAAGTCTTCATTGCTCGTTTAAACCCATCCAATGAGTGTGCCAGGTGTATCTCCATGGCCAGATTGTTCCACAGGTAGGGGGGCAACCACTGAGAAGGCCTGCCTTCTGGTCCTTTCCCTCTGGGCCTCCTTTGGGGAAGACAAACACAATATTAAAACACAATAAGAATAAAATAATACATTCAACAGATAAATAACTAGTAGGATAAATTAAAGCAGATGGCTATAAAGATATTAAAAAGGCTGATGAAAGGATAGCAAAAAGAATGATAAAAGGGAAGGAGAGATATCAACAACTTAATGCTCAGGGAAAGCCTGGTGGAAGAGCCAAGTCTTCATTGCTCGTTTAAACCCATCCAATGAGTGTGCCAGGTGTATCTCCATGGCCAGATTGTTCCACAGGTAGGGGGGCAACCACTGAGAAGGCCTGCCTTCTGGTCCTTTCCCTCTGGGCCTCCTTTGGGGTCAAGGACCTTAACTGCCCTACCTGTGAAGAATGGGTATTATGGACAGATCTGGTTGGGAGCAGGCATTCTGCTAGATACCGAGGTCCTAAACCATTTAGGGCTTTGAATGTTATCATCATAATCTTGAAGCTGATGCGGAAACAAACCGGTAGCCAATGAAGGGTGGCCAAAATGGGAGAGATGTGCTGAAATGTCTTCACCCTAGTTATTAATCTGGCTGTCAAATTCTGAACCAGTTGTAGTCTCTGCATCAACCTCAAGGGTAGCCCTGCGTAGAGAGCACTGCAGTAGTCTATTCTTGAGATTACAAGTGCATGAATCAGTCGTGAGTGCCCCTGTATCTAGACAGGGATGCAGCTGGGCAATCCTCCGACATATCTAGTACATTAGATATTGTTGGTTTAGCTGGCGGTCCAGGGATCGTAAGAATTCAGTGTGTGCAAAACAGCTGACAAGTGTTTCAGACAATTGCTAGAATATTGGTTTGAGAATCATGTTTCGTTACAAACTGTATGAAGAACCAGGAAGAGAAAGGGGTGTTTTAATGAGTGACCAAGTCAACTTGAAGAAGGCACCTTGGAACCTGAGGCAACTTAAAAGAAAATATGTAGGGCTCGTGAGAGTTTTACCCTTACCTTTGTTTTAATTTGCTTCGGTGTATCGGTGAGAAAGATAGAGGAGTTTGGATCGCTGGCACTCATTTTCGTCTGTGCTCCCTGCAGGGCTGGAAAGAAGACGGAATGCAGTAGGGCCGGCTTGGGGTAGCCAATTCGTGGGGCCACATCTCTCGTCATTCTGAAATAGGGGTCCTAAAACAAATAAAACAACCAGGAAAAGGCTTGTGGGAAGATAAAGACAGACTACACCCAGTTGTCTGATTAGCATTAGTTCAGTCTCCTCACAGTGGCTTTACCATACAGCACCCCATCGTTAGTAACAGTCACCCAAACCTCTGAAATGGCACAACATTCACCAAATGACTACACTAAATCTATCATATATTGGACATGCATGATTTGACACACTGGAAATGACCATGATGCTAGCAAAATTGGAAGGCAATAGGAAAAGAGAGAAATCTAATATAAGATGGATTGACTCACTAAAGGAAGCCACAGTCTATTCTTTGCATGACCTAAGCAGGGCTGTTAATAATAAGAACTTGTGGAAGTCATTAATTCATAGGATCATTGTAAGTTGGAAATGACATGACAGCACATAACATAATGAAGTTGGAAATGACTTGACAGCACATAACATATACACATCACACCTTTTCATGGGATGAGGCACACCCGTTGTGCCTCATCCATGGATCTCACAAGGAATCTCAGGTCTGACATATTCTTTTGGGCATGATAGGTGGCTATGGGAGGGCAGGACAAGAAACTTTCCTTCTATGAACTATCTTAAATTATCATATCTTAGGATCCAATCCTACATATTTAGAGTGCAGTAGAAAAATGCAAAATATATACAGTTTGGATATTCCTTTAAATCCATTGCAATTTTGTCTTGTGATGGATTTGATGGAAGAGACTGATTTACTCTTGAAAAGCCTTTCATACCTGATCAATTGCACATGGGATGAGACATTGGATGTCTTTCTTATTGTTGAAGATTTGTGGAAATGATGTACTAAAGGATGGAGCCGCTTGAATGGCAGGAAAACTGATCTTACCTAGAAGGGCAGAAAACTTTTATTTGTGATATTGTGTTTGGAACAGAAAAAGTGGCCTGCTCTCGCTTTATACTATCAGTGTAGAAAGAAAGTTTCCAGTATTATTTGAAGATGATTAGTAAGCCTGGTGGCATGGTTGTGGTTGTTCATGGCCAGTTAAAGTCAAAAATTTAGCCTTGAAGAATACCAATGGAAAGATGTTACTACTGTGCAGTAAGATGCCACCTTTCACTCACCCTCACAGAAAGCATTCTCTTTTGTGTGACGCATAGACACTTACCTTTGACTGGTGTGTCTGCCTTTATGTTGTCCCCTGAATTCAAAAACATTTATTTTCCTGGAATATTTTCTTCCTTTTTTAAAAAAAATGTGGCTTATTTTGTGAATACCTTTTTCATTTTTTTCTAGGTCCTTTCATTTAACATGAAAGGGAACACATCTTCCAGGTTCCTTCACATCAGTTTTCCCATCTCTGCTTTTAGGCACTCCAAAAGATCTATAGGAACCTTAAAGCAGAGAGGCAAGGCAACACAGACTCAACCTACTCCAGAAGTGGACAAATCACAGTCACACTAAACAAGGTACAGCCCACCATCAGATGCTCCTCCAGTCAGGATACCTCCCCCACAACCAGTCTTGGACACACAGGGGAAAAAAAAACCTTTGATCATCCACCAACCTATTCAAAAAGGTATAATGTGTCCAAGCAGTAGAAAAGAGAAAAAGTCAGTATGAATTCTGTGGCACTGCAATCCACATAGCACAACAGACCCTCTGGGCAGGGAAAAACAACAACAACAACAACAACAACAACAACAACAAGGAAGCAGCCAGACAGCAAAGGAAATAACAGCACAAAACGGTCCCCCAAACCCCACCAAAATATACACTTTTAACAGAATAAATACATGATAAATTAACTAAATAACAATTTAAAAATCAGTTAAATAAAGGGGGAGGGAATAGCAAACAACTACAATACACACACAGTTTTTTTCTGCCAAACACTAAGAAAAACAACCAGGCAAAGGAAGGCAAAAAATACTATCAAAATCCCCCACAAACCCAAAGGCCTAGAATATGGGGAGATTTCTCTGCCCCCCCCCCGCCCTGGATGCCTTCTTTTCTTCTTTGCATCTAGCAGGCAGCAGCAAAAAGAATCCAAGAAAGGAAAGAACCAAAGAGGGGGGAAATACTCAAAGAAATCAGATGAGGAGAGATACAGAAAGGAAACACACTCCCCACTGGGTTCCTTCCAACCAAGGTCCTTCTGCAGATTCAAAATTCCCACGCCCCTGGATGTTCCGATTCGCTGGTGACAGTAACCCTTATTTGATGGCCTTTCTCTAGTGGGGACTAATCACTGGATTTAGCCCAAAAGACAAGGATCCTCTTAAGCACCCCTAATTGCAAGAGCTAGTGCTGGGAAAGTGGGCTCCCTGTTCCCAACATTTGTAAGAATTCCCTCACAGCTCCCAACTGCTTTATCAGCTCAAAGTCATAACTGTGTAAAAAATACTTAACCAATGAAGCAGCCTCCCTGAGATGCACCACATTCCCATAAGAAACAGGTCTCATTCTGTCAAGTCAGTAGGAACCTCAGCCCTTTGGAGAGCCAGTATGTTGTCCCCTCATCTGTGAAATCAGACTGAACTACGTTTATACAGTTGCTAAAATTCTAGGAGGACAATTTAGAGTAGGCCCAGTCAGAATCTGGTGAGTCAACTACTTTCTGAGTCCCACTGATTCAATGGGTCTACTCAAGTTGCAAGTTACTACTGGACTGGAGCCAGTACATCACACATACACATATAATTCTCTTAATGTTGTCCCTATTATAGTTAAGGATGACTTTGCTGTAGCCCATCAAATGCTCTTCCCCAGTGCCACAGAAATAGTATACAGTGCAGATATGCCTTCTTCTCTGAAAGTGTCATGTGTTTTCTCGCTGGCTGGTAGAATAGCTAAAGGCAGAAATTAGAGAATAATACTGAAACCCACCTATGCAATCACTGTCTGTAAAACCAAAGATTCCTTTGACTTGGTTGAATGTAACGTGTTTTTGAATTTTAACAATGTTCTTGTAGAATTCTGGACTCTGCCTGGGACCAGAAAGAGAAAACAGGAATCAGAAACAATATTTAGGCAGGGGAAAAAAAAGAAAGCTTTTGGGAGAAAAAGGCCAACACTGCAATCTTTTCTCTGGGTGGCATGGCTTTTTGACAGACTGTATGTAGAATTAAAGAACAATGTCTACTTAAAGGAAACTCCAAGCTGTGTTTGACTATGCTTTCTGTCTGCTGTCTACAAGTTGTTTATAATGACAAGCTTATAGAATACCCAGTATGATCTTATCTTTAATAACAACATACTAAAGCAATGGCACACCACTGCAAAGACCTTTCTTTCTCACTTTCTGATCTTGTCGTAAATGAATATGTGTTTCAAAAATTACAGCCGTAAATACCACTAAGAATCATCCAATTTGCTTATGATACTAATCAAAAATGAACTGAAAATGCTGTAGATAAATTAGAAAGGTTATGTAAATACTTTAATCCAAAAATATACACATACTAACATTTGCAGTTCATGGTATATTTGCTGCCATTTAAAAGACAGAATACAGTTCAATATCTGGACAGCTCAGTGGTTTAGGCATCTGGCTATGGAGCCAGAGGTTGGGAATTTCGCCCCTGTGCCTCCTTGATAAGGGCTGGTTTCAATGAGCCATAAGGTCCCTTCCAGGCCTGCAGTTCTACGAGAATTATTATTAAGATTATTATCATTTGCCTTTTGCTAAATAGTTATTTCAACTGAATTTCATATTACTGTACCTCTGAGGGCTGCTGTACACCCCCTGCTGGAGAATGAAAGAACTACATACAGTGGGCCCTCGACTTACGAACGGCCCTAGTGACGAACATTTTGGGTTACGAACCCGAGCTCAATGCAAGTAGTACACCCTACTTGCGAACGCGGATCGGGTTCCGAACCCAAAAGGCAGGGAGAAAGGGTGGGAAATTCGTATTTCCTGCCCTTCCTCCCTGCCTTTGGAGCTTTCAAAAGGCTTCCCCTGACATCGGAGGAAGCCTTCTGAAACTTCCAAAGCCAAAAAGGCAGGGAGAAAGCGCGGGAAGTTCGAACTTCCCGTGCTTTCTCCCTGCCTTTTAGGCTTTGGACGGTTCAGGAGGCTTTCTCCGATGTCAGAGGAAGGCTTTTGAGAGCTCCCAAGGCAGGGAGGAAGG